TTTCATCACAAAGATTGGCAAAGGTGGATTTCTGAAGTTCCACTAAAAGTGGTCAAGCATTGCCGTCGTATGGACACTTTTTTTTTTCCAGACAAGACACAATTCTGATGACAAGATGAGAAATACAATAGGCGAAAGAAGTTGCGCCCCACTATGTGCCATTTTTACCCTCCGTTTGAAAGCCGTCCCTACAATCTCTCCCCATCCTCCAGCTCCACTGCCTGCACACAGCCCTGTGGAGCAGAGCTCCTTACTGGAGCTAAATGGCTTTAAATATACACTCTGCATGCAGATCTCAAGTGATAGTCTCTTAATAGATGTCAGATACACTTTATTGCTACCCTCTTTTATTTCAGTAACATTTTAATTAATTCACACTGATTGAATAAATGTACATTGAGACTTGTTTCTTAATGAGGGCACATTTAGAGGAAAGGTTTTGCATCATTCTGATATCCTGTGGGTAATTATATTCTAATTATATGGTCGGGAAAGAGACTCTATAACTCAGTGCTGATATTGTTCATTGGACCCAATTAATTACAGGCACGTAATGAAAGTTCATGATAAGGTTGACTGACAGTCAGGATAAAATTTTAACTCAATTGAATCCTTGCCTAACGTGAGTGCAGAATTGGACTTTAACCTGGTTAGAAACTGCATGAGCATGAGATCAGAGGATATTGAGGGGGGTGGGGTGTAGTATTTATGACCTTCACTATACACTGACTTTTTAAAGGATATGGAAAGAAAATAACACACCGTGCATTATTCTTGTTTATTCTCCATCCCACTCTCACCTTTCATCATGGCATGGCCAGTGCCCAGAGGTGGAAGGGTCATGCACAGGGGAGCTCAGCTCAAGGTAGAGAATCATCAAACATCCCGGTTAGACATTGGTAACGTCCTCCTTAATTAAGGAGCGCTGATTTATGGTAGGTGCTTAATCAATGCCTCTTAATGATTTGATTCACATTGAGGGATGAATGTGTGGGTAGAACATATGAGGACCCCCCAGTAAATCTCCCCTTCACTGTCTCCTCATAGCATGACTCAAGCTTCTTAAAGGCTGTACTACCAGCATCAACTCCAGCAAACATTGTGAGGCTGGAAAGGTTGGGGGTGAAGGCTCAGTGACAAACTGGGTATTCCAATTCAATTCAACAAGCATTTGTTGATTGCCTACTGTATATCAATCACCAGGTTAAGTAGTGAGGATGCCAAGACAACCATGAAACAGACCCAGCCCTCAAGGAGTTTAATATCCTTCTTGGACATGGGAATAATAATGTCTTTAAAACTATGCAATTACATTAACAACTGGAGTAAGCAGATAGGTCTTGCCAGATTATGTTCAGAGATGTTGATTTCCAGAGCAACACCCCAACTCTTGCAGGCCATTTTCTAAGTTGCAGAAAGTCTCCAGGCTTTAGAGACCCAGTTCAGCAGAAGTAGAAGCCATGTTTCTATGCTGGGCCACAGAGAATCTGTCAGTCTGTTGAATTGATTTGTAAAAATGAGCTACTTTGTTAGCCTTTCAGTAAGTCTCTTGCCCTGCCCTAAGTTCTCCATTCTGCACCTCCCCCCAACACACACACCTAGTCACTTCTTGGTTACCTGTGGAAACTGAGGTAACTAAGGGTTGTCATTTGTCTTTGACTTCAGAATGAGCTCTTGCCCAGTGTTTAGGAATGCGTTACATTTCCAATGAAGAAATAAAGATGATTCTGAAGATGAGCAAAGGAGATGCTTGTGTTCCCCATATAGCCCAACTGTTCAGCTTGGGGTGCACCATACTTCTTAGTTACTGAAATGAAAACACAAGCTAGATTTCTGGTGTAGCAAAACAAACAAACAAACAAACATTTTATTTTTTCTATGTAGAGACTAAGGTCAATATAAGCTGTGGAGGACAGGCCAGCAATTTGGGGTCATTAATGTTAGTGGGTAATTCACTAGATTTTGACTCTAGTCACTGGCCAACAAATTAAGATGCAGAAAAACCAAGAACTAGAGTTTGGGAGATAAAAGACAAAGGCGATTGGCATCCATTTTACATATCTTCATTCCAGCCTAACTTTGTTCATCTTTTGGCTCTGTGCATCTCACTCCTTACCTTATGGGGACTTCCTCACTCAGATGCAAATCAATACCCTCAACGGAAGCATTTTCTGGTCTTTCTGGCCTTGTTTTCTTTCTGACTCACGTTGTTCCCCTCCGTGATTTAACAACGGTATTGCTAAGTAGGACAGTGTTGAGATGAAGACACTCATGATGGAGAAGGGCCTTCAGTCCAAGGAGAGTGGCATGTTTAGCAGGAGAAGACTCCGGGGAGAAAGTCATAGCTGTTTTCAAGTTTTCCAAAGGTTATGTGGGAGAGGGATTAGACTGGGTCTGTTTATTCCCAGAAGGCAGATCTAGAGACAGGTAGTACCTTCTGGGAGGCCAATTTCACCTTGATATCAGGGAGGGAAAATAAAACAGAACAGACTAAGAGCTTGCCTCGACTGTCCAGAAGTAGAATGGGCTTAGTCCACAGGCAATGGCTTTCTCTTCCTTGGATTTCATCAAGCAGAGGCTGGGTGACCACTTAGCAGTATGTTATTTTAGGAAGGCTGGTGGGCATCCGTTTGGTGCATAGGTTGAGCTGGATGGCTTCTGAGGACCTTTCCAGCTCACACATTCTCTGATTCTGAGCTTCCAGGAATAACAGCCAAGCCCATGTATATAAACGAAATAGGTTATTCCTGTGAGGGTTTCTGACACTGTGCAATGATGATCTGGCAACTACTTTATCAAATTAATCAATACATTGGGTCAATTCCAATATTTCAGCAAAACAAACAAGTAAGCCCTAGGTTCTGAACCTAATCAACCCTCTGCATTGATCAAATTAGCTGAATAAGTACAAGAATGCTACTGTAAAAGGTCAGAGATTGATATACTCAGGTCCTTCACCATACTGGCAGTGAGGGCTGGGTGTAGGTAGCCCTTCATCAGCCACACCTGTGCATCTCGACCTTTCCTTAAATAGCAGAGACACACTTAGATTATTTCACCATGGTCTCTTAAACGTTGGGCACAGAGTTTGTGATGAAATAATTGGGAGTAATGAAGGCAACAGGAATGGACTTAGTTATTCAGGAAAGGTTTTAAGCACACCTCTTAAGGCTTGTAAGGAAGGTTCCAAGAGGTTTCGTGATGCAAGAGAACAGTCTAGCATGGCCATCATGGGACACAGGAGCATGTAACTAGGACCTATAAACCAGCTGTCAGCGACACAGATCAAATGGTGGGGCAAGAACTTGAAGTCGTTCCCCAAGGAGGATTTTAAGGGAACCCTAATCACCATGTCAATGCAAAAGAAAACTTAGGTCCAAGGCTCTCAGAGCACTTTTTATGCAGCTCATCACTGGATCCTACCCACCTCCTGGCCTGGCTCTGGGGTCCACTCTTCCTCCTCAGATTGGGTCATCTTTGATTTCTTTTTAAGCATTTCTTCCATTTTTCCAAAGGAGGATTAATTCTGATAGACATATTAGAAAGTGCAGCATTTTCATCTCCTCTAGAAGTTGAAATATGCGGCCTCCAAATGAAAAAATTTAAAGCCTGTGGCAGATGACCTAAATCTGAGCTCTCAGTTGTATTGTTATGGCATGTACAGTTGTTATTTGCTTCTGGAAGAAACACTAGCACAGGACAGTAACACAGAGCTGGTCCCTGCCAGGGCTTCTTAGAGAAGCATTCTAAGAACTGAGACTTCTTAGTGCAGGGTTTTTCACTTGGGCTCTATAGACCCCCCCAAAAAAATCTGAGAAATCAGATTGGGGGAAATGACATCTTCCCTCCTGGACACACAGTACCCTCTGACTGCAGCTCATTATTTCCTTCAAGTATTTTAAAACATTCTCAGAATAAGGTCCCCAGAGTTTGACCAGACTGGCAGAGGGGCCCGCAGCACCCACACAAAAGTTAAGAGGCCCCTTATTTTACAGAGAATGGAAATGAAATCAAGGAACATTCATTGGCTTTTATCTGAGGTCACAGTGATAGTATCAGAGGTAGGATTTGAAACCACGTTTTCTACATTAGATAGACTACTAGCCGTTCTTTGTCTCTTCAGTTTTCTTCTCTCTTCTATCTTGGTCAGATATTGGCTGTTTCTATTTTCCTTTTCACTGTGGAAGCATCTCTTTCCAGTCAAGGTAGACTTCAAACAAAGAAGAAAAAAAATAGACTTTCCTGCCCTTTTCCATTTTTCTACCATATCTACACTGGTAGTTTGTCTGTTACACATTTCAAGTCATCTTTTAGGTGTATTTTGAACATTGGTATGGTTGTGGGAACTGAGAAATAGCATTTTTCAATTATTGAAATTCACTAAAGGTTTACTCAAATGGGAAAGAAAAGACTATTGTAAAGAAAAATGATTAGTATCACAACTGATATTTAGTTAGATTATCCATTAATTAATTTCTAATCTTTGAAAGTCTCTTTAGCACCATTGCAAAAATTAAAAAGAAAAACAAACAAAAAAACAGTAACACCCAGAATAATTGAATTGGACAGTATCCCTGGAGGTCATGTGTGTCTCACCTCATAGTTGTTCCCTGGAAAGCAATGCTGGGGGAGGAGATGGGTTGGGGGATGGAGGTGAGGGACAGGGATGGGGGGTTCTGGACAGGGATCTGGAACCAGGCGCTAATGCCATCATCCTGGCCCAAAGGCTCAGCCCAGCCTCCTTTCAGGAAATGGGCCTGGGGGATAAACAAACACCAGGGAAGTACACTTTGTTTGGGAAAAGTAAGTCTAGTGCTCAGGAGGTGTGTGTGTCGGGTGGGGCACAGGGCCAGGGGAGGGTCTTCACCGGAGGCCATGGGAATGAACAGAAAAGTAAAAGCAAAGAATGTATTTGTGTTCACAGAACTCTAGGGCTATAAACATTGTTCCTTTTCCTTTATTTAAAAACAATTTTAATATTAACTTCTCTTTTCCAACAGACTCTGCAAACTTCAGGAGTTTCACTTCCTGAGGTGCGTAAAAATTCCCTAATTGAAAAATTAATAATAAGCAAAAAAAAAGTGTTGTCAAGGTGTTAATTTTCCATACTTGCTGGTTTTGCTTTTGCATTACTTTAATCTAGGCCTTCCGTCCTTCTGTAACAACACTGTATTGAGTTAGTAGAGCCTTTTCATGAATTGCCCGAATATGACTTTTGTGTGTATATGTATACACACATAACGTCTTGTGTTTTCTATCTGTATGTATATATACACTTATATATAGACATACATATATACACATTCATATGCATACGTGCACACACACATGTATAAAGCACCTAACAACTGGCCCTCTGTTTGATAGAGTAGGTCATTTTGTTGATTACTGTATTATGAGAAAATCCCCACATCCATGCAGTTCACACTCAAAACTGCCCTTGCGTGTAGGGATTGACGCATTGTTTTCGAAGCCAGTGAATCTGTCATCCCACTGTGGAGGGGTATCTGGAAGCACGAGGTGATGTACCGGGAAGCAAATTAGCCTGCCTTCATGTTACAGTTTGGTTCAGATTATATGGTAACTGTGGATCATACCGATTTTACATTTTGTTATTAAGCAATACACAAGTAATAAGAGGCTAACACTCTTTTTATTTGATCAAAATCATTATAATTTAAATTCAGCAGAATTACTTGGGTCTTTTCATTCACTATACATACATGCTTATATATACATATACATATATATACACATATATATGTTTATAAAATTTTATGTTTTGTTTTTTCCTCGTTGTTCAGCAGAGCTTAGAAGGCAAAACCCCAAACTGCACAAAGAGATCTTGAGGTCCTCCTCCCAAGCTTTGGTTAATTCTAGGACCCTTGGATCCCGGCTAATTCTCACCCTGGATCCCGTAAGGCAAAATGATCTTCCTCTGAGTCATGCCAATTAAATCCATAGAAATAGACAGTTATTGGTGAATTGCAGAACATATATAATATTTTCATGATGCAAACAGACGGGGTGGTCTTTCTTAACAGATCACTCCTCTTTACCTTGGCACTGAGGGGTCCCCCTTCTTTCTCAGGAGTCGCTGAGTAGCTTTTGTTGTTATCTGTCCACAATTCCCAAAGATCACTAGTTGACTTTGCTGGTGGAGCTGGACCTCTGGTGGAACTTCCCAGCCTGTGCTGACCCACAGCCTGCCAAGGTCACCTTCAGCCAGAATCAAATCAAAAGCCACCTGGAGAAAGCTGAGTGTGGGCGGGGTCAGAGACAGTTGGGCTTGGCTTCCCTCTCCCAGTGAGCTCTCTCGTCCTGCCTGCTGCTTTGGGAGCTTGCTCCCTCCTTCCCAAGCAGAACCCATCCCTCCCTCTCTTTGTCAGCACTTTGCTGGGCCCTGGTCCCCACTAGTGGAGGCGTCCCTAGGGTGGGGTGCCAGGGGCTTCTTTGTCCCAGACACCTAATTCAGAGGGCTTGGATGCACTCATAGCCCTTAGTGGAAGGGACAATGCTGAGAACCTAGTTACCAAGAGGAATTACTTAAAATACGAAGTGACAGTCTGTGCTTCTGGACCTGGGAGTAATAAAGACATCTGCAGCTGCTAACATGACCATGATGGCTCTGCTTGCTTGCAAGAACAGCCCCCTACCCCTACCTGCCCTCTTCTACCAGGAGCTGAGGGAAGCCCAAAGCTTCTGTCCATGGTAGACCACATGTTCTGAAGTCCCCGTGTGTGTCTGTACACCCAGGCCCTGAGTGAAGGCACATGGGGATTTTATTCACTACAGTACAGCCCTTAGCAGCTTCAGAAAAAAATAATGCTCCCCTCTTTTCTTCTTTTTTAAGCAATGACCCAAGAGTTCCAGAGCAGAAATCAGCTCTCTTTGGGCCAGAGGATACAGATAAACCTAGCACTGAGGCTCTGGTCATGCCCAATGGGGTCAGTGAGAATGCTGCTCCTGTGTGTTTCTTAACTGCCCGACTTGAGAGGATAGGGCAGGGATTCCTCATGGCATGTCTCCATCTGTCCCCAGCCTCCCATCCCCGGAGCAACTTTCCACCTCCTCTTTTTACAGTTTTATAACAGAGCACTTGCTTCTTCAGAACCAGAGGGCCCTTGGGTTTGAGAAGGACCAGGCCCCGCAGGACGGCCAATGACAAGGAAGACAAAGGCTTTCACAAAAACCCAACAGACCAATGCAGCTCCAGGGGCCCTGAAACGGGAGGACCCTAAGGGTGTGGAGGGGAAGCCAGGACAGAGGGGAGGGAGCGCAGGGTCTGTAGCCCGCCGTGAAGGACGCTGCTATCTACCACTTGCTAACAGGGTGACTTGGATAAGAGACTTCAACTCCCCGGGCCTCAGTCTCCTTCTCTCTGGAATGAACAGATTGGAGGCCCTTCCCTGTAGGACTCAAAGCCCTTTGATCCCATGGATGCCAGTTGATGTTAATGAAGAACATGAAAGTCTACAGATCATTTTATAGACATTATCTCGTTGTATCCCTACCACAATCCTGGTGATGTTGGTGGATCCATTTTCCAGATCATGTTAATAGTTAACGTTTCTGTAGCTCTTTGGTCAATCAGTCAATGTTTATGAAGTACCATGTGCCAAGCACTGTGCTAAGGGCTATCCATACAAAGAAAGGCAGAAATGCCCCAAGAAGCTCACAATCTAATGGGGCAGAAACAACCTTCTGAAAGGTTGAGGCAGCCTCAGCAGGGAAGGCACCAGGCATGGGCTACAGCAGGAAGGAAGCCACTGCAGGCAGGAGTTTCCTCCAGAGCCTAGGGGAGATGGCGTCTCCCCCATCAGGAACGGGGAGTAGACCAGTGCAGACATACGGAGGCTGGAAAAGTAGGAAGGTCCAAACTAGGAAGGGTTTTCGGTGCCAGAGGAGCTTGAACTGGATCCTGGGGGTAATAGGGAGCTACTGGAGTTTACGGCAGAAGGGGGTGACATGGTCAGACCTAGGCTGGAGGAAGATTCCTTGGACGGAAGGATGGAACGTTTGGGATGAGAAGACCCTTTCAGAGGTTGCTGCCATAGTCCCAGAGACTGGTCCTGGTCGTGTGAGGGGAGAGAAGGGGGCATGTGAGCAAAGGTTTGCAGATAGAATCCAAAGCGCTTGGCGGCCTTTATCCCCTGGATCCTCACACCGGAAACGGAGGCTGAGGGGCTCACGCACATTGATATGACTCGTAAGCAGAGGAGTCAGGACCAGAACCCAACTTTGTTTTGTTTTGTTTTGTTTTTCCTTTAAATTCCAAATCAGAATCTGTGCCCTGGGTGCAGGATCGCAGACTTGAGATGCGGAAGGAACTGACTCCAAATCATTCCTTGTACAGTTTACAAACTGAGGCTGAGTGAGACCAGGTCGTGTGCTCCAGGTCCATAGGGCATCCATGGCAGCGCCGGGCTATGAAGCTGGGTCCTCCGACAACAAATCGGGCATTCTTCTCATTGCCCCTGCAGGCCATGGGGCCCCCTCAGACCATTTGTTTCCCAGGCCTCATTTGGGCTGCCTCTGCCTTCCACCTAAGCCGCCCCCCGTGGATGGACAGATCCGTTCCAGACATGCCACCTTGGACACCAGGAAGGATGCTAACCCCAGCCCTGTCTAGCCAGGCCTTGTATGCCCTGTAGTCCCAGGGCCTTCGAGGCGCAGTGCACTATGGTGCCACCTAGCTGCCCGGTTCTCATTTATGCTTGCTGCCTAATCAGCGGGTGCCTGGAAGGCGTCAACAGCAATGTTGCCCAAATCCTCCCCTTTAACCGCTATCCCCACCAAGTAAATGGTGTGTGTGAGACTTTGGGAAAGGCAAGAGCTCTCTCTGAGTCCTAGTTCCCTCATCTGTAAAATGGGCAGGCCGGGCTGCCCATTTAGCTTCCTCTCCATCTGAGAGCTGGAAGGGACCTCACTGACCATAAAGTCTCATCCCTTAATCTGACAAGTAAGGAAACTGAGGCCCAAGAAGAGTGCAGGAGTTGACCATGGGTGTGCAGGTGCTGTTGGAGGAAGACAGCTTGTGATTCTTTGATGGTGAAGTGAACACAACCCAGCTTGGGAAAAGTCTGTTGTGAATGGCTGTGAAAATGACTCCAGAAAAGAGACAGAGAGTAAAGCAGTTGTATGAAAATCAGTAGAATATAAGGTTCTTGATCACCAGCGTCAGTGTCTTCATCTTCCCATCACCTACTGAGCACCTTACACAGTGGTCTTTCCTTAATCCCTCCCTCCCTCCCTTCCTCCCTTCCTTCATCCCTTCCTCCCTTCCTTCGTCCCTCCCTCCCTCCCTTCCTCCCTTCCTTCGTCCCTTCCTTCCTTCCTTCTCTTCCTCCCTTCTTTCCTTCCTGACTTCCTTCCTTTTTAACTTCCCTTCCTTTTCTTTCCTTCAGAGCTGTTTTTCTTAATTAGCTTTCTGACCATTTGTCATAGAAGACAAAGAGGAAGGGTGTGTGTGTGTGGCGGGGTGGTTTCCAACCTGCTTAATTGAGATGGGTGGTCAGGATTGGCTTCACCTGAGGGCTGATTCTCCATGAATGAAGCCCAAAGAGCCCTGTCCTTCAGCAACCCCCCAAAGTCTATCTCCAGAGGTTACTTGAGTCTGGGTAGGTCTGGGTAAGAGTGAGCCTGCCTGCTAGCAGTTGCTCTCAGCATTCTTAAGGACCCTCCAACATAGGCCTTGTTCGACACCTTAAAACATTTGACCCTCAACTATGGAAACAACAGTTTGGACAAAAAGGCCCCCATGATGTGGTGAGATATCCTAGAGAGACCCATCATGAGTGATGACCTTGGATTCAACAAGGCAGCCATGCTGTGGAGTTGCCCTAGGTCAACAACTCTTCCTTTTCTTTTGTCTTGGAAGATTCTGCAGAGCTTTCAAAACCAACTGCCTTTGCCTAATATTTTGTGTACATGATTATCTCATTTGGATCTCACAACATCCCTTAGCATTGGGTATTGCAGGATGAATTGACTCTATTTTTTTCCTATGAGGAAACATTGTCTCAGGAAGATGATGGGGCTTTCCCAAAGTCAGCCAGGAAGCATTTACAAAGACCTTCCCATGTGCCAGGCAGCTAGATGACCCATTGTATGAAGTACTGGGTCTGGATGCAGGAAGACTTGAGTTCAAATTTGGCCTCACAAGGGTTGTTGTGGTGATCAAAGGAGATGATATTTGTAAAGTGTTTAGCACAGTGCCTCACATAGAATAGGCACTAAATAAATGTGGTGTTTGCCTCCTTCTAGGCACTAGGTCACACAGTGGGGTAAAAAAAAAATCAAAAATGGAATTTTGAACCCAGGTCTCTTTGGGCATGAATCCCTGGGCTCTGTCTGTTTTTGCCAAGTTGCTTCCACATACTGGTCTTGCTCATTAGCTACCATTTGTCCACGTTGACCAGAGCAGTGAAAATGACCCCTGGATCCACTGACAGATACTGTCCCAATTTTACATGCCACTCAGTCCAAAGCTATCACTTGTCTCTACTCCTATTAATGCTCGATTATTTTAGAGGTGAGAATTGAGGGCAAATATGTGTTAGCCATACAAAGAGGTCATTTTCTCACAAAACACTACATTGATGTCCAAAGCTGGGCCTCTGGGGGAGCCTTTCAGGTCAGCTGGTCTTTCTACCAACATAGGCATTCCAAGGAGAAGGCCCGGGTTGCCACTGGGCCACCCAGTCGCTGGGTCCTTGCCTTCATCAGTTCTGCCTGTAGAGATAGACCACACTGATGAATCTGATGGAGAGAATGGTTTGTCCTGCACAGAAGGCTACATTCAGCAATGCACTCTTTTTTTAAAGTGGGACTTTTCAAAATGTCTTCACACTAAGAAGGCAAACAAAGACTGTGCCCATGCATATTTAAATAGAATTAAAGGCCACTTTGATCAGATAGGGGGCGCCATAGTACATCCAGCACCTAGCCTGGAGTCAGGAAGACTCATCCTCCTGAGTTCAAATATGGCCTCAGATACTTCCTAGCTGTGTGACCCTGGGCAAGTCACTTAACCCTGTTTGCCTCCATTTCCCAATCTGCAAAATGAGCTGGAGAAGGAAATGACAAACCGTTCCATCATCTTTACCAAGAAAACCCAAACTGGGGTCACAAAAGGTTTTGGGCATGACTGTAGTGGCTGAACAACAGCAAAAGTCCACCTCAATAAGTCATTCCTAGGGGCAGAGATTTAGAATCAGAAGCACCTGAAATGTTGTCTTGTCCAGCCCCCTCCTCTGACAGTTGAGGACTTCTAAAACACCATCTGGACATTGGAGAGCCCTCCTGGATTAGCCCCTTTGAAACGGGTAGTCCACAAGCCGACTCTACAGCCAATGAGACGCAGCCAGTCGGAGATTTTCCTTTGTTTGAGAATCTTGACCGGGCAGATTGTTAAATTTTCTTACCTCTTTCTTTCATTCCATTTTACTAACGATTTGTCCAAGCTGCTATCAATGGTATAGGTCCTGTTCCAATGGAGTCAGGTGACAGCCTCTCTTAACTCTGTTAAAAGTTCAATTTCATCTGGGGACATGAACAAAATATTGTTTTACATGAAATTATTTTATGAAGCTAAGGCCGCATATTTATTTTTCTTCCCTTAGGACCGCCAAGGGACCGTGAACAAGGACAATGAATCCTCCCAGCAGGCCAACAAGGCAGGAGACAAGAACAAAATGCAGAGAGCTAACTCTGTGACTGTGGACGGGCAAGGCCTACAGGTGGGGCCTTCTTCCTGCCTCCCCTCACTCCTACCACCACATCCTCATCGTCTTTTTTATTTTGTTCATTTCAGGCTTTTAGGGACATGCATCTTCAGTCGTCAGTCTATTGGTTTAAGCCCCGGGTTGACTCGGGAGGCAGTCTCCTGGGCCTAGTTAGTAAATGGATCAAAATGTCCATCTTGTAGGTGAATGTCACAATGTTCTTTGTTCAATCTGGCTTCAGTGTTCACGATGTTCAAACCTTTAGTGGTCTGGCAGCCCACTGTACTGTGGCGTCATCAGCTTGGCAGTTTGGCCTGTTGACAACCTGTTATGAGTATGGGAAGAACCAGATTTTAGGATCTTCACGCCGGTAAAAAATAAATATGCAAACAAATGCTTTGGACAGTGTAAGAATAGATATTTTTTGTTTGTTTTTGTTTTCATGAGTTTAAACAAAACAAGAAGAGATGTATTATTCGTTAAAATAGAAATATAGATTATATATTCTATATCAACAGATATTCTTGGTTCTGACGCTTCCTACCTATGTGACCTTGGACAAGTCACTTAACCATTATAGGCCTTTGTTTTGTTACCTATAAAATGAGGCAGCTGGACTAGATGCTTTCAAAGGTTCTCCCACCTCTAAATCTATAACCATCTTAGTTGCTGGAACCAAAAATAACCATTAACTTTAACATCACCTTCACCGTTGTCATTAAAACATTCTTATTTTGTTCATTCCCAAAAGTAATGGGCCAGTGATAGAGCACAGAGCCTGTAGTCAGGAAGATCTGAGCTCAAATCTGACCTCAGACACTTAGCTGTGTGACCCTGGGCAAGTCATTTAACCTCTATTTGCCTCCACTGTAAAATGGGGATAATAACAGCACCTACCTCCCGGGATTGTTCTGAGGCTCAAATACATAAAGCGCTTGGCACAGTGCCTGGCACATAGGTGCCCTACAAATGCTAGGTAGTATTTTTATTTATTTTATTTTTTGTAGATATACCATCATCCAGTTAATATTAACGTTAACCAGAATTTGGACAAGAGTTGTGACAAACCCCAGTGTATACAATACATCGGCACTTTCGACATGTTGGACTTGTGTAAACTGGTCTCTAATCTCGGAAACTAATTTGTTTGTAATTTAATCGTGTGGACAGAAACACATGGAAGTGTTCATATTGTTTAGCTATGACAGGCAAAAGGAGGAAAGAGAAAGGGTCCAGCCCAGCCCCTCACTGTTCCCAAAGTCACAGAAGAGAGAAATCGATTATTTTGCTGTTTTGCTAATAATGGACTTTTTAAAGTAATAAAAATGGTAGTGCTTTATCAAGATTGAGGAAAAAGGACTGCCAGAAAATTAATTTAACCCGTAAGCTTTAAAAAAAATACATCATGAGAAAGCATTGAATTGCAGCCGCGTTTGCATATAACTCACTGACAGCGGAGATGTGCGCTGCTTAGAGAAGGTGATTAATCATAGTTAAGAACATTCATCTTACTTCTTTTTAGCCAACCAGCATAATGATCAGGATTATTATTTCTAATTAGAGGAAGTAATAGATCATGTATAACCTTAGTATGAGCCTCATTAATTAACCCAAGTTCTAAGGGACTTCACATAGAGGTAGTTGGGTTCTTCATCTTTGTCATCACCAAGGCAGAGGTTTACCCCAATACTGATGATCACAGATTATGGACATGGTAACAAGTCACACGAATTGATTGAAATGGAAAAGATGCCAACACCCACGTGCACTTGCTCCATGGAAGCATTTGTGTAGAAAAGCTCACGGTGCCATTAACAGCGTGGATTCCCCAAAATGGACATTTGAAAATAGAGCTCTTAGTCATATGATTTTCCGTTGCAAGAAAGTTTCCCAAAGAAGACTTTTGTCTGAGAAAAGTGTGATTTCCCTACATAATGTTGTTATTACCCAAGATTAAGAATGTTTCTCAGTGGATACTCTGCTCTCTGCTCCAGCTCAATGTGTTTCAAAGAGCTGTTCACTTCACTTTCCTCCGAGTCGACTCTTCTGCTTAATTCAATGGAAAATCGTGGGTTCACTCTATAATTCATGCTCACGCACCTACTTTAACAGACTGACCTTTTTAGGCCAGACCTCCGTTTCCTTCATGCTTCCCATAACTAACCAGAAGCCATTAGAGGCCACAAGGACCTCCTTTCATTGTCCCAGGAACACACTCATAGGGTTGGACTTCATGAAGGTTCTTCCATCAGGGCACATCACAAAGAAAAGGCATAAATTCACCTACTAAGCACAAAGGAAGGTTTCCACATCATGTCAGCAAGCATTGACTTTTCATGAACGTTGGTCCACTAATTCACAAGACTTCTTGTTGAAGTGGTTTATCCAATCTGTGTTGGTAAAGCAACAGGCCAGCTTTGGATCATGATTAATCACTCCCAGAAATACATGGCTGATGTTGCAACCTGACATATAGTAAGTGCATAATAAATGCTTATTGATTGACTGGGGGCACAGGGTACTCCATTTTCTACTCCTCTTTCCAGTTCAAGCTCATTATCTCCCACCTTTACTATTTGACCTCTGGGGAGTGATCATGGCTGCCAAAGCTTGCCTATGATTTAGATAGACAGATAGATATAGATATGCACATGTATACATATATATTTTATATATGTACATGTATACATATACATAATAAATACATGTGTGCATATACACATATATGTATGTATATATCCTGCCATGGTGACTCCTTGTGGCCTTTTTCAGGGCAGATGTGTCTTTCCGTGTTTGTGTAAGATTTACACTTGCTGTATTTCATCACAGATCATAAAAGTGGTCACAGATCCATGTGTTCCTATCAAGGCAGTGGAGTGTAAGGCAATAAAGGCAGGCCCTCCCTCCTCCTTGCCAGTATAGCATCCCCCATGACTTCTTTCCCTGATTCTTTAGCCAATGGGTCATGAGTTCTGTGGATGCTTCCGTTTCTGACCTCTGGTCCTTTCCTATCATTGCCACGGTCCCACTCCAATTTTGGACAGAATCACGTCTTGCTTTCTCTCTTGGCAATAGGTTCCTAACTGGGCACTATTTCCAGGACCTTCCTCCTTCACTTTATACTTTGTGATGCTGTCACATGGTAGGCCAAAGACATTGCTTTCATACTTTCATTACATTGCTCCCTTGATTAAAAACAAAACAAAACAGAAAAGACACAGTGACTCTGTCCCCTGCAGATCTCAACTGTGAACTCTATCTTCATTTGGAAGGTCCTTCTACAATCAGTGACAGGAGAACTGACATCTGGATCTTATGTCCCTTTTCATATTCAGACAGATGGAAAGTTCTAGTTTACATTGAGCAGGGGCGTACAGCAGGACTAGCTCCTCTGGTGTGAGGGCGGCTCATCTACCTTTGGTGTCTACCTGGCACTCATACACAGTGGCCACACCCTGGTAAAACCATCTTGGCAGATGGGCTAGACCAGGTTGAGGATAACCAACAGACCTCAAATCCGATGTTGGGTTGGGGGTATCAACCCCAAGCATGTGAAGGAATTCCTTGTGGAACGGGCAGATGAGAACAACTTCTTCCAATGGCCATGAAGGGAGCTGAAGCAGGCACTGTGAAGTGCTTAGAACTTGGTTAGACATTGAAAATGTCAAGGTTCATCCACTGCATCCCCAGCAGTCACCAGTCATCTTTGCTTTTGTCTTGCCACTGAACTTTGATGACTCTGAAATAGAAAGTGAGACTGACAGCTTTGTGCAATTCTGCCTCACTTAAATGCAATTCACTCACAAGTCAAGACAGCACCCCATGATGTCATTGGTCCTCTTTGACAATGAAAGACAAACACCTTTGAGCTAAAATCTTCCTTCTTCTGACTTTGGCCCATTGGATCCTGCTATAGCTGTGCCTGAGAGGCAGCATGGCAGAGAGGATGGGGAGTCAGAAGACACCAGTCATGTGATCAAGGACTTCTCCCAGCCTGTTTCCTTAGCTATATAATGGAAGTGATAGTAATACATGTAGTATCTCCTTGCCAGGGTGGTGTGAAGCACCATTCGTTGATATAAGGTGTATAAAACTGTTTAGCGCTAAAGAAGTGAGAAGTCAATATGATGGCATAGAACAAGTCTAATCTACCTTCCACAGGACAGGGAGGATAGCTAGCCCACTCTCCTAAGTCTCTTCCTCCTGTGAATTCAACATCCCTATATTTTAAAAGACCTCCACAGGATAATATTTCAAATGTTCTCTCTATCCCACTCATCCTCTGTGGGACCAGTTCCATTTTCACAAAATACCAGAATGCAGAGACCCTAAGAACCAGAAGGGACCTCAATGTCCACGTCTTCTACCCCACTTCCCAAACTAGCTTCTCTACAACCTGCCTGGCAAGGCCCATCCTGGATAACTTCCAATTACTGCCAGGATTCAAATACGAAGTTTTCTTGTGGCATTTAAGAAGCTCTCTATCTCCCCCTTCTTACCTTTCCAGTCTTCACACCCTCCCCTCCCCCTCTCCATGCACTCTGAGGTTCAGCCCTACTGACCCACTTGCTGCTTTTGCACAGAGATTTCCACCTCTCATCTCCATACCTTTGCAGAGACATACCCTATACCTAAAATACACTCCTTCCTCACCACCACCTCTTGAAAGCCTTGGCTTCTTTCAACATTCAGCTCAAACCTCACCTTTGGCAGGAGGTTTTCCTGGTCCCCCCCACCTCCCCCCTCCATCTGATCCTTTACATCAACTAGGTTACCTTTCTCTTGTCCAATCAATCAGCAACTATTTATGAAGCTTCTGCTGTGTGACAGACACTGTCCTAGGCACTGAGGATGAAGGAAAAAGAAGGAAAATGTTTATCGCTGTATGTAAATATTGATTTCCTTGTTGTATTCCCCATTAGAATGTAAGCTCCTTGAGGACAGCCAGTGTTTTTGCCTTTGTTTGCATCTCCAGTGCTTAGCACTTGATTAGTGATTGGTCACTTAAGCCCTTCAGTTGCTCTATAGAAGATGCTGGATACTGACTAAAGATCATAATATGTTGTGGATAATTGACAAGGAGTAGCGAGTGCCTAGTTGTCCATTTTCTTTTTTTTTTTTTAATTTCTGTAATCCTTATCACACTGTCATGGGTACAGTCAACGAACAACAGGAGATGTTCCAGACTGTATCCTGGGTTGAGTTTTAAAATGAAATCTTTTAACAAGTTAACTTAGAGCAGACAAATTGGGAAGAGTTTCCTGGACATAAAATAGATGCTTGTGAATGATGGGATGAAAAGGTGGAGGGATAGGAGTGAGTCCCAGAGGGAATCAGAAGTAGAATCACGGAGAGCTCTTGTGGTAAGGCAAAAAAAAAAAAAAGAAGAAAAAGGAAATTCAGGCGAGTGGTGAAGAGAACTCAGAGCCCCATCAAGAGGGAGGTGAGAAAACACTGAGAAGAGGGATGTTGACAAGGAAAGTGAGGAGCAGGGGTCAGAACTCACAGATAGAAAGTTTTCTTTCTTTGAACTCATGGGGAAAATCAGCATTTGGGGATGTGTGTAGAGGAACCCTAACTGGCTGACCAATGTTGTCCAGTCCTCGATCTAGTTTGGTTTCCAAGCTCCTGAACCCTCACTGTGATGCCCCTTCCTCATTTGGTGTCCATACCAGGGACCCCATTTTGGGAGCCCAAACCAGCGCACTCTTCTATCCCACCTTTGACACTCCCTCCTTCCTATTATCATGGACTAGTCCTATATCTCCTTCCCTGAAGACTTTGCCAAGACCAACTAGTGAATTTAGAATCATAAGATTCTAGATTTAGACCTGGAAGGGTCCTTAGAGGTCATGATCTAATTTTACAGAAGAGGAAACTGAAAGACAGAGACAGAAAGTGAATCTTCTATCTCCAAATTTGGTGTTCTTTCTGCCTCTCCACAATGACCACCAGTAATTACAATTTGGCATCAGAGCTTTAGAGCTGGAAGCAACTTCAGGGGTCCCGTAATTTAAACCCAGTATTTTATGGAAAACAGAGGTGTAGCAAGGTCAGGTGGCCTGCCCAGGGTCACAAAGGGGGTCAGTAGCAGAGTGACCCTGTATCTTAATCAATCAGCTCATTCTCTCTCATTTTTCCAAGCCATGGTTATTCAGTCTGTTCATTCTCTCCAGCCCTGCACCCCATGTTTACTTGTCATTGTTCATCTGTTCATCCTTTACCAGACCAGACCATGAGAACTAATGACTTTGTCTATTTTTTCCCTAGATTACTCCAATTCCTGGCACTCACCCACTGTTGGTTTTTGTCAACCCCAAGAGTGGTGGGAAGCAAGGAGAAAGGTTTGTGTTCTTGGTCTTACTTTTTCTGTGTGTCAGATATGTGTAGAATCATTGAATGGAACATAATAATGAGACATGGCGTAACTGGAATTAATGATTTCTAATTTAATATCCCAAGAGTCAGTGGTGTAATGGTTAAACACCATTCCTAGCCAGGAAGATGTGAGCTCAAGTTCTGTTTCTGACACCTCCTGATTGTGTGACCCTGACTAAGTCACTTAACTTCTCAGTGGCCAAGGCACCTCTGGATCTGAGTTATGAGAAGATGATGGCTTATGTTGATAGAGGGATTTTCTCTCTCAGAAGTTCCCTGTACTAATGAAATCGCATGCCTAGACCCTCTCCCTAAATTATTGTCCAAATTGTGATTAACTCATGTAGAAATCTATAGGAGAAGTCTTGGTCTGATTTTTCCTCCATTTTTCATAGATATTTTATATCTGGAGATATTTTAATATAGTAATGGGGATTTTTATGAACTTTTTTATTGCCTTAGTTCAGGATTCGGTATTTTATTTCATGCTATTAAAATAATCCACAAATCATTCATTTTTTGCTTCCTGTGATCCATGACCACAGAGGCTAGGATCATAATTATGTCACTATGATTCTTCCACTATTAGGCCTAGTGGAGGGATTGTGTATTTAAGTCTATAGAGAGAGAATATCGATGCACATTTATGTAAAAAAATGACATAAGGTCATCAGGGTGTTTAAGAGGAGAGTTGGCCTTAGGGGATGTATATCATCCCTTTGGCAGAGCTGTAACTATGGTGAACCATGTGGGGCTTTGCCCTAGGGTGCTAAATCCCAGAGGGCATCCTTCCCCACAGACAGCCCCACTTGTTCTATGCCTTCTCTGCATCCACCATTCAGTAAAGAACCCAGCCCCTTCCCTTCCCTGGTCTGCAACCCCTAGGGTTCTGTCAAAATGGCACCTCTCCTTCGGTCTGACTGCCCTAAAAATGTGGTCATGTCCCCCCTACATCCTACTAGGGTTTGAGGAGTTGGGGCATCATCAATCCTTGACTATTCAAAAGGACCTAGAGCTGGAGGAATCTTTCCAGCAAACATTCCTGGAGGAAAGAATGACTCCCCCTCCCAATCCCTACTGGGGCTTCATTTACTTTAGTTAGACAACTATTAGGAATAAAGTAAAGGGATGTATACACACACACATACGTGCATATACACCTGTGTAGACATACAAGTATTTATGTATATGTGTACTTGTGCAAATGCATATATGTACGTGTGTGTACAAATGCATGGGCACATAGGGACTGGATCTCTGATTACATTGACATAGGGAACTCCCTCTACCAAAGCAGATAGCAGATGATCTGTAACTTATGGCCTTAGAGAGTTGTCAAAGGGCACTGAGATATTTAGGGACTTGCCCAGGGTTGGCCCCAGGCAGGAGGAGCCAGAGGCAGGATTTAAACCCAGGGTTTCCTGAACCTCTATCCATCATACATGGGTGTGCATGTGTGTGCGCATGTATTTTACTAGTTTGGAAATGGCATCATATAAAATGATATTGCCTTTTTATGTAGGCTCTCCTTCCTCTCTCTTCTCTCCTTTCTCTGTCTCTTTCTCCTCTCTCTGTCTCTCTCTCCATCTCTCTCTCTTTTTTTCTCTCTCTCTAATTCTATTGCTTTCTCTATAGATTATATATCTATATAGTAAATCTTACATGTGTATTTATGCATGTAAGTCTATTGAGGATATATCTATGTATAGATATATAGACATGTATGTTCATATCTTCAATCCAATCCAATAACTTGTATTAGGCACCTATAATGTGCCAGGTACTGTGCTAAAATGCTAAGAATACAATTAATAAAGAGGCCATCCTTGGCCTCCAGGAGCTCACAGTCTGTTGGGAGCAGGGAGGTGAGGAGAGGACACCAGGGGGTTCGCTTCATGAGGCAATCTTGTTCCCTGGAGCTGAGACCAAACAGAGTGTCAGATGCAGAGTAAAAGGAGCCCCAAATACAGTTTCTACCCTCTATAAAGGAAATCATTGGGAGGAGTTTGAGATGCCACCTTCCAGCCCTCCAATTGGAGCAGAGAGGAGGCTGAAGGAGGTGGGAAATATCAGACAAGGCTTGAGTCAGCAGAGAGGTGAGGAGAATAGAGGTGACAGGGCTTAACCTGGGAGAAGCCACTTGTTTTGTGAAGTTGAAACCAGACAGCAACAGATGGAGACAGATAAATAAAATTATAGATATACATATACACACAAACATACATATATATTATATTTGTAGATATAGATATAGATATAGATATAGATATAGACATAGATATCTCAGCACACCTTCATACCAGAGATGCCAGTCCTCCCTGAACATCCCACTCACCCTTTTGCAGGGCTGCTCATCCACCTTAGGTGTCCAACTGTCACCCAATTCTCACCTGAAGCTCCAAGAAGCTATAGAACTGGCAGCAGCAACACCTGCTAAAAGCAGCTCAGTATATGGGTAAACTAAGTTGAGAATAACCACCAGACCTCAAACCTGAGTTAGAGGGGTGTCTACCCCAAGTATGGGAAGACGTCTCTGGTGGAATGGGCAGACAGAACAATTTCTTCCAATGGCCATGAAGGGGACTGAAGCAGACTCCATGGAGCACTACAGCTTGGTCAGACATGGAAGATGCCAAGGGCGTGCACTGTATCCCAGGCCATCACCAGTAGTCTTGACTTTTGTCTTGCCACCAAAATTTGATGACTGGATGAGAGAGTAAGGCTAATGACTTTGTGTGACTCTGCTTCACTTAAGTTGATTTCATGCCCAAGTAAAGACATCACCCTGTGATGTGATCTTTGAAAACAAAGGATAAATAGCAGGTAGATATCTATCCTATCCATATCTATATAGCCTAAATAATATATATATATATATATATATATATATGTGTGTGTGTGTGTGTGTGTGTGTGTGTGTGTGTGTGTATAATGCACTTGAAATACATAGATACACATAAAATGTTATATATACACCTATATATAAAAGGGGAAAATACAGTTACACACATACATACATATACATATATACAGTAGGTCTTTAGTTGTCAACATCTTTTTTCCCCATTGAAAACTGCATTTCTTCATTTTGGAATTTCATAGAGATTAATTTAGGTTCAGGTAGTTTTTAACAGTAAATGAATGGCAATAATTTTGTGGAATAAGTGTTTTTTGTATATTTTTCCCCTGGATTTTCAAAAGCATTCAGTGAAATGCCTCCTCTTCCTCCTCCCACACTAGTTGGGAAGACTGGAGATTTAATTTCCACATACATTTTCATCATCTAGCCATCAGAGACTCTTAAGACTGTTTCTCCACAGAACCTTTTATTGGTTACCCATTAGAGCAGAGTTACATACCCTGCTCTCTGACCTTTTCTGGTAAAAACTCAATTCTGGCTCTGAATATTTGCCACTTCCTCTTCCCTTATGCCCCTCTTTCTTTCTGTCTCTCTTCTTCTCTCTCTGTGTTCTGATACTAAAAACATGGCCCAAGGAGGGGTTAGGTTACACTTCCTGCTTCTACAGCCCTGAGCTTTCTAGTGTTCTTGGCTTCACTTTCTTCTGCCTCATTTTCTTTGAGAAAGAGGCAAATGACTCTCAGGATCCACTTCAAAAAGTTGTTGTGAGAAAAGCCTTTGGAGGGGCTTAAAGTGCCATGGAAACATGAGTGACCTTTTTCTGGTTTTCTTCTACTTTGCCATTTTCCTTTTCTATGTCCCCTGAAGATATAGAATTGGGCCTTGAGTCTTGTCTGAGAATGTCAGGCTAAATCCTGGGAATGCTAGTTGTTATGATGATGATGATGACGATGACGATGACAATGACGACGACGACGACGATGACGATCACGATGATGACTATTGATGACAATGGACAAGAATGATGATCATTATTATTAATTAGCGAGCTGGCTAAGAGGTTTACTGATCCCTGGACAAATCACCTGTACTTCTCTACTTGTTTCTTAGCTTGGACATTCTGTAATTCTTATTGGTAGTTGTCTTCCCTTCTGGAGGGTCTTTGACCTTGCCTACTTTTGAGTGAAATAGGACTAAGACTGCATTGATATGGTGATATACTTCAAACGCTCTTTTTTGGAGTGATGGGGAGGGGAACAAGCTATCAGGACATTCCAGCTGATGAGGAGAGTAGCTCACAAGAGGGTTCCATTCCTTCCCACTGTCTAAATCCACCCAGTTTTCTTAGCATCCCTCCTTTTTTGCCCACAGAGATAATGTGAAAGACTTTGTCAAAATTCTGAAAGAACTGGGTGCTGAGCAATAACATTAATGTGTTTAGAAATAACTGAGAATAGTGAAGGCAGATTGTGGAAGCAGTGGAGAATATTCCAGCAATCCTTTGTATGCAGTGATCCATAGAGTACTATTATCTTGTTTAGCCACAAACATACCCATAAAGGTTCTTCAAAACTCCAAATATGACCCATTTTTTTTGATATTATAATAATTCCTTTTCTTTCATTCATTTCAATGGAGTTCACCAAGACCTCATTCAAAGACATTACCTTTGGACTGTTATTATTTTGTATTTAATGTTCTGCCAGGTTGAGAAAATGACTGCTTTGGTAATCGCATAAAATAATTGGGATGTAAGTGCCTACCCTTTAGACACACTGAAAGCATATTTAGAACAAATTCCAGCAGTAGCTGGGATGATGTTGATGAGGAGAAGGAGGATACGATCTTCATCTTGTCCCTATGATGTTTTCATTTTTTCAGCTCAGGCTCCGCTCCTTGAAAGCCTTTCATTCCATGTGGTTTTGAGATAATGAACATTGGGATGTTGTTCTCTCTTAAAATATTGTTGTTGTTGTTGTTGTTGTTGTTGTTGTTTTTTAATTTTGTGGGTTAATATTATGTCCAGACAAACATGGATGAGAAAGTTTGGTTTATGATAATAGCATGACTCTAAAATAGCTTATCGAATGTTGTTAATCATATCAATATGCAGCATAATTATGCATATATATCCCTCTTGATTTTTATCAATCTATCTACTACCAAATTTAATCATAGATATACCAGATGAATTGACAAGAAGACCTAAGTTATTAGTTTTATTGTTCCTATTGCTATTTATTCCCATAATGCACCTTCCCCATACCTCTTTTGAAAAGTGGAAAGTCAAAGCTTTTTAGTCACGATTGTGGTCAGTCTGGCTTTTAACATGGAATTGGAACATTGGAAGCATTGTCTCTCATGTTACATGAAGTACAGTTTCACATGGAGGGAAACAAGGGCTTCTTCCTATTAGGCAAAGTCCTCACAGATGAGCAAATGAATGCCTAGAGGTGGTCATAAGAGACAGGGTCACCCAATGGGCAGGGGTTCAAATCCTTCTTCTCACACTTGGAAACCATTTGCTATGACTTTTCCCCTGACTCATCAGTGGTTATGGGATCCATGTTAGTGCAGGGAGTGTCTGACATGAGAGCCTTAGTATGAATGAAATCCTAAATCCTTCATAAGATCATAGATTGAAAGCAGAGAGATCTTAGAGGCCCCTAAATCCACCCCCTTCTTTTTTTTCAGATGAGTAAAATGAGGCCCTGAGGGATAAAATCATTTGCCCAAGGTCACACAGGGAATATGTGGAAGAAATAGGATATAAATCCATGTATGTAGTTATTTATGGAAGTGTGGTCTACTCCAAACATAGGAAAGCAGCTCATTAGTAAATGTGGGGATTTTATCACATGGAGATCAAGTAACAACCTTGTTTCCTATTCATAAAATCTGTTGTGTTCCTTATTTTGTCCCATTTCTTGTTAATATCCAGGAATAGCATGAATCACGTTGCGTGCTTGAGTTATCAATTCATCAGATCTATCAGTAAAGCCCAAGAATATCTGAGATGGAAATATATCCCTACCCATCATTCCTGGGATATGGTTTCAAAAATAGAATTCATCCATTCCCTTTATGATATTTTTATCACATTAAGTACACTGTCAAGTACATTTACAAATGCATGTGTGCCCACCAGTCAGCCATCTTCCTGAAGACCTGGAGGAAGGTGGAGATGGTGCCAGGGCAATCTGAGGCTTGGATTTAGCTCAAAGATGGACTGTTATCTGTGAAAAGGAATTGTTGAATTAGTCTCATGGTTCTCAGAGCCAAGTGTTAGAGATCAATGTCTTTGTCAAGAATAGAGGTCTGGGGAAAACACATTTTTACAAACACATACGTAAAATGGGAGCGGAATCATGACAGCATCCATTTGGGTAGAGGCTAGTGCCTTCTCCCTGTGTGTTAGGTTGGCAAGGTTCCCCTAAGTTTCAGTCATTGCCAGGATTTATTTAGATAAAGTATTTAAACAACTAGGGCAAAAACATTTATTCTGTCTTCAAAATAAGCTGGCATTAAGATATTTTTATGGAGGGGAAGTATTTCCAGTTGCATTTTAAGAATATCAGTGTAATTGTCTCTAAATTAAGAATCTTTGGTGTTCTTTTATTGGGAGAAGGGGCCCTCTCTGATTACCTTGTGACTCAGTCCCTGAGCTCCTTTGCTGCAGTTAGGAAGAATCTACTTTAAATTGTTTTGCTTCTGATATTTTATTATGCCCCCAATGATTTAGCTTTTTAAAATAAGACTTTGAAATAATACCTAATATCATGTTAGAATTTATTGACAAAATTCTCTTTTCAGAAATAATATAATTGTTCATATCACTAAATAACTGTGTTTTTTTCCCTCTGATTTCCTTCCATCTTACAGAATCTACAGAAAATTTCAGTATCTCTTAAATCCTCGCCAGGTTTATAGTCTTGCTACAAATGGACCCATGCCAGGGTAAGTCTGAGGCTAATGTTATTATCATTAATTCATTTAATATTCCCTAATTAAATAAGGAGGCTGATATACCTAGAAATAATGTGATTTGAATGCATCAGCCAGACCACTAGGAAAAAAAAAAGTGTAATATCAACTACCAAAAACAGATCCCAGCTTCCAAAATGGCTAATATCCTGTTTCCACTCTTTTTTCTCATCCAAATGTGTTGGAGGAAAAGAAGGGGTAAAGAATCAAGGAAGGGTGAGTTCTTTGTCCAACTGAAGAAGCTGAGAAAAGCTGGTGACTGAGCCAGCCCCTCTCCCTTCTTACATTTATAAATACAGTCCAGAACTCTCGCAGATTAAGAGCAGGGTATCTCACCAAGAATATGATCTCATTTAGTTATAAATCTGCCCATTAAGGTCTTTTGCGATACTAACTCAAAAGGGTCCGAACTGCAAAAGATCCCAGGGTACCAGGAACATCAAGGGAGCTGATGAGGCTGGGGGCTTTAGTCTTTAGTCATACACTTTAGTGTGTGAAGGAAGATGAAGGGAAACGTGGCTGGAAGGCTAGGGTAGAAGCAAAGCCTCAGACCTGCCATGACAGGAGCAAGGTCTTTAGAACTGCCCTTAGGGGACCAGGGTTCAAGTCTAATGTTCACTTTCTATGTAATGTGGGGCAGGGTGCTGACTATTTCTGGATCTCAGTTCCCTTTTCCTTAGATTTCATTTAGAGGCTGGCAGTTTAAGTAATCTTGGAGGAGTTTCCAAACCAAAATCCTGTGATGCTACCTCCATTCCCTTCCTGACAGGGTTATTGTGTGTGTGTGGGAGAAATATATATATATACACACACACACATACATATATATATACACACACATACACACACACACACACACACACACACACACACACACACATATATATATAAATGTTAAAAAATTCAATAAAAATGTGAGTGATTAGAATGTTAGTCTCTGATGGGGGTGGTCCTCGGTTAGACTTGACGTTATACTGACTGTTCTCAGGACTGGTGATTATATGAACACTGCCCATGTCATATTAGTCTGGATTTATTTCCTCAAACTCTTTACTCATTTCTATTTATTTTTAATTTATACCTTGAATTCCTATGCCTTACCTTCAGGTAGAATAAAATAAAAAGCTAATTAGTATAACCTGGTAAGAATCTACTGATCAAATCCACCATTTAGCTTCTGATGACCCCCTCTCCCATCTCAAGTGTGAGCCCCAAAGAAGGAAATTCCTGAACAGTGAGCAGCTTCTGAGCTTTTTAGTGGTCCTCGTTGTCACATGCCTCATCTGCTGGTGGGTGTTCCAGGCTCTGACCTCCCAATGCCCTGGGCATAACGCACTGGGGACCCTAATACTCATGCTTAGTAAGGTTGATTATCCCTGTTAGAGGTAGAAAGGCAAAACCCAGCTAAAAATCAGGCAAGAATAGAAGGCTGGCAAAAGGCAGGAGGGCATGATTTGTGTTGCCCTTGGTGAATCAGTCAATAGGCATTTATTAAGTGCTTACTATGTGCCAGGTACTGTGCTAAGCATGGAAGATAGAAAAGCAAAGAAGATAGGAAATAATTTTAAAAGCTCAGGCACTGGAATTAAGAGGGGTTGGGGAAGGCTTTTTGTAGAAGGTGGGATTTTAGTTAGAACTTAAAGGAAGCCAGAGTGGTCAGGAGTCTAGGCAGAAGAAGGAGAGTGTGCCTGGCATGGTGTCTAGCCAGAGAGAGTATCCAGAGCCAAGAGATGGGGTATAGTTTTTGTGGGACAGCCAGGAGGCCAGTGTCACTGGATCAAAAAATACATGTTGGGGAGTAGGAAAGGTAAGATGAAGCAAGATTGTGAAAGGCTTTGAATGCCAACTAGAGAATGATCTGGAAGCAACAGGGAGCCACAGGAGTTTTTTGAGTAGGGGGATGACATGATGAGATCTGGGTTTTAGAAAAATGTCTTTAATGGCTAAATGGAGGATGGATTGGAGTGGAGAAAGAGTTGAGGCCCCAGGCCAACCCACCAGCAGCTCATACAATAGTCCAGGCAGGAGATGATGAGGGCCTTTACCAGGTTGGGGGCAGTGTCAGAGGAGAGAAGGTATGTTCCAGAGATGCTTCAAAGGTGAAATTCAAAGGCTTTGGCACCATATTGGATATAAGGGTGCAAAAGAGAGTAAGGAACCCAAAATGACTCCTAGGGTGTCAGCTTGAGGGATGATGAAGGAGGATGGTAGAGTCTTCCATAGTTGTAAGGAAATTTGAAAGGGGTGAGTTTTAGGGGGTATAGATCCTCTTGCCAGATCTCTTGGTTTTTTCCCCTTTTTTCTGAATCACAGTCTTTTCCTTGAGTTTTTGCCTCTGTGTGGTAGATGTTTTAATTTACTTAAAAAATTAAATATGGAAAAATACTATCCAATTCTAGTTTTCTTTCAGTACCAGCCATTAAAAAATCAGGATCTGATTAAGCTTCTGGTTTTCATCATTCCTAGTTTTTAGGCTACAAAATATAATCTACATTGTTTTCTCTATAGGGCTACATGTTGAGGTAATGTTACCTATTCCCTTTAATGATTCACGAATCTCATGTCACCATTGTTACTCATAGAGTTTCTTGTTTTAGTGTTGGAAAGTACCTTGGAGAGCACCCATTTCAAAGCTCCCATTTATACTTAAGGAAATTGAGGATCAGAGGGGACAAAATACTCACCCACAGACAGGTAGGAAGTTAGTGATAGGTTATCTAAACATTGATTTGGGAGGCATTAGTTTAGAGGAGTAGTTCCAACATTTGTTGATAAGTTTAGCTGGATCTCTGAGCACGGACCCATTTTTGTGAAGTATGGAGCCACCTTCCTTTCAAATGGGTCCTTGAATAAGACCTTCTGAGGCACCTGCTCCCATTGCATGATGTTCTGTGCATGTCCTCAGCTCTGAAAGAAGTTGGTTTCACTTGTTAAAAGACTTCTGTCTTCTACAGATGTCACAGAAAAAAAAAGTATTATTGAATCAGATATTTTCTGTTAAGCTGGCATAATTGAGGCTAAATAATATTTCATGTGAAGATTGCTTTGCATAGTTTTACATCAAAAATTGACTGAACTGAAACTATGCAAGTCACACAAAGCACAGTTCCCAGCAGCCAGAATGGAGAGCCTCTTTCGAAGGCTCCCGACAATGTTGTAGAAAGGCTCTATGGGCTGGGTTTGTCCCTTTTGGTGAACCGTGATGCAGCAGAGAAGGAAAGCATGCAGAATTTGGCGAGCCAGGCTCTGCATTTGAATCCTGACTCAGACACTGTCTCTGTGACCTGGGGCAAGCCACTTACACTGCCTGGGCCTCAGTTTCCTCGTCTGTGGAATAACAAGGTTGAACCAGATAATCCCTCTTATAGCTCTATGTCTGTGTCCCTTCGGTGCTGGGACGTCATTCGGCCCTTTGTCTCCTGTGACATGATCACTAGCCAGTATTTGTTCTTTTGGCAGCAATAAAAATCAGTTTATGAGAGGGTAGGGGGCTGTGACCTAGAACATACCCCAGGCAGGAAGGGTTCGACCTCCTGGGGTCCGGCACAGCTCCAGCCAAACCCCATGGAATACTCTTCTCCTATACATTCCAATGTACGCTTAGAATTCCCCATCTGTGCCGTGGGTATCTTTGAATCTTAAAGAAGACTAAATCCCAGGTTGTTGTCAGGTATGTTCAAGAACCTCAAACATCAGACAGAAACTGAAATACTGGTGAGAGAGAGACAGAGAGAGAGAGAGAGAGAGAGAGAGAGAGAGAGAGAGAGAGACAGAGAGAGAGACAGAGAGAGAGAGAGAGACAGAGAGACAGAGAGAGAGAGAGAGATAGAGACAGAGAGAGACAGAGAGACAAAGACAGAGAGACAGAGAGACAGAGACAGAGAGACAGAGATAGAAAGAGAGAAGAGGAGAGAAAAGGGAAAGAGAAGGGTGAGAGAAAGGAGAGATGGAGTCAATGACCTAAGACACAGATTACTGAGTGATAGCCACAGAACATGGTCCTTTTAATTAGAGGAAGGCAGCTATCCCCCTTGTATGCTATTGATTAACCTCTAACCACACCCCACTATTCCCCATCATTTCACCTATCACAGTAATGCCCCAACATAGTGTTGGGTACTGCAAGGTTAGGGAGGGGAAGGGAACACCAACAGTGTTCTCATAGCACATGCATCAGTCACTTTTGAATGATATTAGAAAACTGTCATATGATCATAACCGCATCTTTGCAAACTGAAAAAGGCTGATGCATAGAGTCAGATTGATTTTCTGCCCTTCTGTGATTCAGAAAACAGTTGCATGTTCAGGTAACAGATTAATGCTCAGAAAAGAAAATGATCATTTTAACCTGTTCAGCTCCTAGGCACCTGCTTGTCAATTTAGTCTCAAATCCATTAAAATGCATTCCTCAAGACTAGAGGAATTTGGCCCTTGGCATAATAAACAGTTCATCATAAGGTTCTCTCTTTTATGAGAAAGATTTGTTTTAATTATAAATGTGTATTTATTATACACACACAGACACACACACACACACACAGCCAGCATATTGAGTTATACCAAAGTACAGTGGGCTGCCTTGGTCAACATGGGATCCCTCCCATTCTAGTTACTCAAATAAAGTCCATGGGACCATTGGTCATGAAGGAATTCTAATTCTTGTGGAGTGGAGGGCAAGGTTGGGGCTGGATGGCTAATGAAATCCTTTCCACTTTGGAGATTCCATACTTATGTGATATTAAAGAAAGCAACAGACATTCTAATTGTTTGATTAATGTGTAATTTGGAAATTTTTTTTCAAATAATTGGCACAATACTCTCTGGTGCAAAGCCATTGATAATAGCTTTAACATACACTGGAATCACGAATGAACATGGGAACTTGATGTGTCTAACATGCAGATTAGTTATCCAGCAGAAAGATCGGACACATTCTCCCCAAAGACGCTTAACCTTGCCAAAAGTAAAATATCTTAAAAGTGAATGTGCAAGATTATGTGTGGCTACACTACGTATGTACCATTCATGTCGATGTATAAATGACTAGATGATATACATATACATGTGCACACATATATATGTACTCATACTCTGTGTGTATATGTGCATATATATGTATATGTGTATGTATATATGTGTGTATGTATATATACATATATACATTTACATACACACACACACACACACATATATATATGGAGGAGGTAGAGAGAGGGTAAGAAGGAAAGAGACAGAAGGAGAAAGAAACAGAAGAGGGGAAGTGGAAGGAGGGAAGGGAGGGTATAGATTACATAAACCATTTTCTAGGTTGAATATATTATATGCCTAGACATATTAACTACAAACCTAAAAATTTAAGTTTAATTCCTGCCCCCTGTTTTCCACTCAATTTTGTTGTTTTTTCAAAGATTAGCTGGAAGTGGGTGGGGGGTAGCCTTCATAGTGGTTAGTCACTGTTACCTACTTAGTAATTTTTCTATGTCACTTTTTTCTTCTTATTTAGGATTTTATTTTTCCCCAGTTACATGTAAAAACAATTTTAAGCTTCATTTTAAAACTTTGAGTTCCAAATTCTCTCCCATCCTCCCTCCCCAGCCCCCACCCCCATTGAGAAGGCAAGCAGTTCCATATAGCTTATACACGTGTAGTCATGCAAAACATTTCCATAATAGTCATGTTATGAAAGAAAACATAGACAAAAAAACCTCAAGAAAAATAAAGTTTAAAAAAGAATGCTTCAATCTCCATTCAGACACCATCAGTTCTTTCTCTGGGGATGGATAGCATCTTTCATCATAAGTCGTTCAGAGTTGCCCTGGATCGTTTTATTGCTGAGAATAGCTAAGTCATTCACAGCTGATCATCTCACAATACTGCTGTTACTTTGTACACAGTACATTTCGCTTTGCATCAGCTTGTGTAAGTTTTTCCAGGTTTTTCTGAGAGCATCCTGCTCATCATTTCTCATAGCACAATAGTATTCCATCTCTATTTCACTTTTCTAATAACTTCGCTTTACAATTGTTGCAAGATTCTTAACATATCAGGGGGTGACAGCTGTTTTTAGCTCAGTGATTAGTGCATAGGAAGTCTCCTGCCACAGAAATCCCCACCCCCTTCTTGTAGGGAAGGGCTGGTTGTATAATCAGTGGCTGAACTGGTGGTCCATGTGTAGTGGTCTGGAAAAAAACCAAAAACAAAAACAAAAAAACAAAAAGAGACACTGATGATGCCTTCAAATTGAGCTGTTACAGTGGAAGGGATAGAGGGAACTCTTTATTTTTTTCTTTTTCTTTTTTTTACCTTTTTATTAATTTATTTTGATTTATCAACAATCATTTCCATAAGCTTTTGAGTTTTAAAATTTTTCTCCCCCTCCCTCCCCACGTCCCTTCCCAAGACGGCGTGCGATCTGATACAGGCTCTATATATACATTCCTATTAAACGTATTTTCACATTAGTCATGTTGTAAGAAAGAATTGGGAAACTCTTTAGAATGGCAAATCTCTTGTTTCCAGCATGGAGACATATCTGGTCCATTTCAGTGATTTTCTCAATTGATTTTTCTCCAGTATCTTCTCTTGAGAAAAATAAATGAAATGCAGCAGGGAGACACAAGTAGGAAATGGTAATCTTCTTGCAATGAGTAGATTATAGAATAGATTACAATAGATTACATTACAATTTTCTCAATAATTCTGATCCATATATAACAAACTCTAGAAATACTTTATTACTTTTTTTTCTAAAAATTAAGAGCTCTTCAACAGACATAAGCAAATGTTTGATTGGAAAAGGAGATGCCCTATTGGGCACTGAGAGTCAGGTGTCCCAAATGGGTGAGCTCATCTCTGCCCTGGGTTCTACCTACACTTTTTTTGAACACTTAGAGGGAGGCCTGCAGCACATCCAGTCCATTTTCTGGGGAGGTTTCCCAGGAGGTCATGGATGAGAATTGTACAGGATGAGAAATTATGAATGGGTTGTAATCTGCACCAGAGGAGGGTGTGTGTACCTCAGCACTGAGTTGAAGCACTTTTAATAAAAGAATCCTTGATAAGAAAAGGGCTCCTATAGCAATGTGGTAGAAGATGTTCAAGAGCTAGGAGCAAAGTCAAGTCTTCCTGGGATGAGAAGCACTCACTGTGTTGGGAAGAACACTGGTCCTCACTTTAGAAGCCCTGGGTTCCCATTGTGCTAAAGTGTTATAGGAGCAGTAGTATGGAATGGCAGTCAGCGAAGTCACTTCCCTGGCATCCGGGTGGGAAGAGAGTGAAAACAGCCTTTATTTACCCCTACCCTTCCCGAGTGTTCACCTATGCCTTACTGCTCCAGACAGTATTGGGATCCGGGCAGGTCACACGTGAGCCCCAGGTAATAGAGAGATCTGCCCCTACACCGTTAAGTGGCAATGTGGCGCTTGAGAAAAGGCTCTGGCTGAGCCCCGGATGTAGATTCACTAGCAGCGATATACTGGGAAGTTTGAGCTTTGTTGGCAGTAGGAATAGCCTTGGTGAGTCTTAAAGTGATTTGTAAAAGTGAGAAAGTGTCAGAGATTTTAGTCAGAGTCCTAGAATCAGAGAGTTAGCAATGGGCCTCAGAGGTCATCCAACCCAATCTGGACCAGACCAAGAATATCGATTGTTATGATCCCACAAGAGGTCATCAGTCTTCTGAACAAAGACCTCCAGTGACACAGCTCATTACCAGCCCATTCCTTTTTGCAGTAGCGCTACATTTTAGGAAGTCTCTCCTTCAAACACGCACAAACACAGATCAAGCCTAAATTTGCCATTTAAAAACTTCCACCCGTGGCTCTTAGTGTTGACCTTTAGGTCAAGCATCAGGCCCAATGCTGCTTCGGTAAGACAGAGTTTATAGGCCTTTAACACAACTATTATCTCTTTCCCTGAACTTCTTTTCTCCAGGCTAAATATCCCCTTTATTCAACTGATTCTCATATGGCATAGATCCAAGGCCCTTAACCAGACAGTTGCTGCTGCTGCTAAGGAAGATTCACAATACTGTTCACCATCCATTCAGACAGATAATTGAGGGCTGACAGTATCAAATCACTTTTCTTTTTGGCATTTCAAATTAGACAGAAAGAAAGTATTGCAATAACACGGATACTAAGGTGCTTTTATTTTCTTGTTTTTGTTTTGTATTTAGCAATTTCCCATTTGGTTCTAGCTGGAAAAAAAAAACAAAAACAGAAGATGAACCATTCTCTAAGTGATATGGATTTAAAATATTATTCAATCTTCAGATGGTTAAGCCTATGTTTCATCAGATTCAGTAATAGGATTGTACGAATGAATAAAAGAATAGGAATTTTTAATTTCAAAGTGTTTTATTTTTCAGGTTAAATTTTTTCCGAGACGTTCCTGACTTCAGGGTCCTGGCATGTGGAGGAGATGGAACAGTCGGCTGGATTTTGGACTGCATAGGTAATGAAGACGGAAGTAATATATTTAAGGGAGATGGACGGGTGGTGGCAACCAGGCTCAGAGAATTTTGGGGCCACGGCAGCTCTTGAAGACCCTCTTCCATGTTGTCGAAGGTCTCTTGGTGGTAGAGAGAACATGCCCAATGAAGAAAGCACAGATCCTTCAAGTGTTAAGCAGAAGCTAATTGCATTTCTCAGCATTTCTGCCCAAATAATTTTCTCTTCTTTTCTTAGAGCATTCCCTGCTGTTTATCCCTCCAACCCATGCATCGTCCCGTCTGGGCTGTTTCCATTATGACAATCAGTCATACAGCAGCTTCTTGCCTGACAAACTGGTGGCAGCAGCCAGTGAGAGTGGTGATCATCTCACAAATTTAAGCCTCTCCTTGCTTTAAAGGGGCATCTATTCTGCAAGCAAACACATCAGGCGATGCTGAGTCTGACTGTTAAAGGGAGGGAGCGTGGACAGGAGTGTCTCATCTCTCTGTCTCTAACAGGGCCTTGCACCTGTTCAGCAGCTCACCAAGGCTTCAGCCCCCACAGGAATTGAGAAAAAAATAAGCAAATCAACAAAAACTTCTGCTAGGTTAGTGTGCTAAACCAAAACTCAAAGAATCAGAATATTTTCTTTCTCCATAGTCACTGGTTAAATTTAAGCTCAGCCCCAAGCATCCATTTCTCTTGCCTTTCATCTAGTGGTTCTTGATTTCCCTGGTCTGTTGTTTTCTCTGGCTGATCTTTGAACTTCCTGATGTGCATACCCTTTTCAGTGGTGCCCATTGCCATCCATCCATGTGCTCCAGTCAGTTTTACAGAAGGTAGCTATCCAGCATGCTGGAAACCTTCCTCTTGATGTCTCACCCTTGAATGGACACATGATCATTGCTCACACTCATAAATATAGGTTCTGTGATGAGGGACCAATTTTTCATTGTTTTTGCATCACTTTCTGACCAGTATTCAAGTCTCCGCATCTTGAAGTTTACCACTTAGATATGATGGTGAAGATAGAGCGGCAAAGGTGCTGCATCTGGGTTCTAGCCCACATTACAAGATGAGCAGAGTGGATGTGCTGCACAGCATCCCTCAGGTGCTACATGATTTTATTGAAAGCACCTGGGGTTTGGTGGGGATTTGTTGTAGAATCTAAACCATTGGGTGATTCATGCTGCATCAAACTGCCGTTTTCAGGCAGACAGCTGTGCTCCTGAAAGTCCCAAGAGGGAAGCTCATCTTACAAAAAGGCATCCAATTGAAGGGGTTTCCTCTTGCTCTTCATTCTGAGCCCTTTTGACTCAGACACAAATCATCCCATGTGTGGGGCCACCAGAAAAGGTGATGTTGAACCCCAATTTCTTCTCCAGTTAATTCTATTTCTGAAAATGAAATCTGTCAACAGATATTGGTCTAGATATAGTAGCACAGGAGAAAGTGTGGATAAAGTAGCCTTGGCCACATTTTCATCTATGTTCTAATCACCCTGTAGATCTACGATCTCACAGATTGGGAAGTTCCCTTCAATGATGTAGATCACAGCCTACACATCCTTGCTACTCTCATTCATGTCCTCCTCAAACTTCACCAAAGGGGCCTCACCTAACAGACGACAGGCTTTCCTCCATTTCTCTGACATGGGAGGATAGTAGCAGAGCAGGCTGACCACATATCTATCATCCCTCCCTCTCTACACATGACCATCTCTTCTCTTATTCCTATCATCTAATTCCTCAAGGATGTATGTTACCAAGATGTATGTGCAGGATGTAACTTATGACCAGTGAGGAGGTCCAAAGAACAGAGTACAAGATATTCCTGTATACAGGTGGAAAAGTAGGCATAATGAGTTAGATCTGTGAGCCTGTTTTTATATCTTGTTCTTTTTGTGATTCTTAGAGATACCAGACAATTTATGCCTGGCATTTCTGTTTTATGTAACAGAATACATATTAACTCAAGCATTTATTAAGTGCCTACTACATGCCAGGTATGAGGCTGGGCCATGAGCATCAAGGGTACAAAATCAAACTAAAAAAAAAAAACAACAACACAAAAAAATCTCTGCTGTAGAGGAGCTAACTGTATGTTGAGAGATATGATGGAAATGCTTATATCTTTTATGAGTAAATGTGGGTATGTAGGTAAATCTTGTGAATTTGTATGAACTTCATTTTCTTTTACCTATTAACTTTGAAAAACTTAACTTCAAATGCATGATTCCCCTGTGCATATGGGGCTGGCATTGCTCACATTGTCCTGTTTTCACTTAATTCTCTCTCTCTCTCTCTCTCTCTCTCTCTCTCTCTCTCTCTCTCTCTCTCTCTCTCTCTCTCTCTCTCTTTCCCTCTCTTTCCCTCCCTCTCTGTCTCTCTGTCTCTCCTCTCCTCTTTCTCTCCCTCTCCTCTTCCCTTCTCTTCTCTCTCTCTCTCTCTCTCTCTCTCTCTCTCTCTCTCTCTCTCT